CTCTCCTTTCTAATCATAAAAATTCTGTTTCCAGATGTTGATGCCCCGCCGAAGGACACATTTCCAGCTGTCAGTCAGGGGAAAAATAAAGGAGCCATTGTACATGAATAAAAGTTTCCATAGCAAGGCCGTTTTCAGAAAAAAAACACCCCTTATTACACTAGGTGCAAGCCATAACATAATCAGAATCCGTAACTGTTCACTGTACCATTTTGCTGCTCCAGTCATGGTGAGTAGCCCCCCCCCCCGCCCGCAGGTCCTGGGTGACGACACTTTTAATGAAGTTTATGGCAGGCTCGTGTCAGGAGCACAGGTAGCTAGTTGAATAATGGCCCTTCCCCATAGCACCAGGGAAGCTGTTTACGAACGGGATGGGGGGGGAACATTTTCACTCCCAAATTGTGGAATCTCTCATGTGGGGCCCCAGTTCCTATCAGTCACTTTAAACTACTTGCCGACCCATGCTGAGCACAGTCTTTTCCGGGGGCCACCCTCTGCGTAGCTGGAGCGGCCTCTTGTAAGCAGAGAACCACAGTACCTCGCTTTTTCTTCATAGTAAACATGCAATACCACCAAATGTGTGTGCCCATTAAAGTTTAACTGGACTTTCATTTTAACTGTATACTCACCAGAGGTGCCTTTCCAGGCATCACTGTCAGCCACCGTGATGTCCTGCGACCCACAGTGCTCCAGGGTTAAAAATATGTCCTGGCTCTCGGGGAGAATGGATCCACTGCTCGCCTGTCTCCCATTCTCCTCCTCCTCGTCCTCCTCCACTATATAATCTTCCTTGTTGTCCCTAGACTCACTCACCTGTGAGGTGTCCACGTTGCTTGTGGGGGTGCTGGTAGGGTCACCCCCAAGAATCACATGCAGCTAGTTGTAGAACCGGCATGTGTGGGGTTCAGCACCAGAACAATGTTTGCCTCCCTTGCCTTCCGGTATGCTTGGCGAAGTTCTTTTATCTTCACACGGCACTGCGGTGTGTCCCTCGTGTAGCTCTTCTCCCCCATTTCACGAGCGATCTTTGCATAGATGTCAGCGTTTCTTCTGCTGGATCGGAGCTCTGCCTGCACAGAATCTTCTCCCCATACAGCGATGAGATCCACCACCTCCTGTGCAGACCAGGCTGGAGTGCATTTGGGGCGTGTAGTCTCCATGATCAGCTGAGCTCAAGCTGGCATGCTCCCAGTGCTGATCAAACAGGAAATCAGAATCCAAAAGCTCCCGGGGCTTTAAATTAAATTTTAATGGAGATATCCTATCTCCTAGAACTGGAAGGGACCTTAAAAGGTCATCTATTCCAGCCCCCTGCCTTCACTAGCAGGACCAAGTACTGATTTTTGCCCTAAGTGACCCCCTCAAGGATTGAACTCACACTATTTTCTGTGTACCTGGCTGCAGTGCAGCAGCATTAAGAATGATCTCCAGAGCGGTCACAGATGAGCATTGTGGGACACCACCTGGAGGCCAATTAAGTCGAATTACACAATGCTGCGTCTGCACTACCTCGCAGTTGGCCCATGAAAATCGAATTAAGTGCTATGCCTCTCGCAGAGGTGGATTACAGAAGTCGACATCAGAGGTGACTTAGGTCGACGTAAAGGACCAGGTAGTGTAGACACATACATTAACAGGTCGACTTAAGGCAGCTTCCTTCGACCTAACTCTGTAGTGTATACCAGGTCTTTGTTACAGAGGTCACGGAAGTCACGGATTCCATGACTTTCCGTGACCTCCATGACTTCTGCAGAGGCTGGTGCGCCTGGCTCAGGGGCAGCTCAGGCAGCACCAGCTGCTGCTGGGGCAATCTTGGGCCACTGTGCCCCCACCCCCACCGCCCACAGAGTTTGGGTGTGGGACGGAGCAGGGGTTGGGGCACCGGATGGGGTGAAGTGGGCTCTGGGTGGCGATTACCTGGGGGTCTCCCTGGAAGCGGTGACATCCCCCTCACTCAGCTGCTAGGCGGAGGCATGGCCAGGCAGCTCTGTGGGCTGCCTCCACCCAGAGCGCTGGCTTTGCAGCTCCCATTGTCCGGGAACTGCGGCCAATGGGAGCTGTGGGGGCGGTGCCTGCAGGCGGAGGCAGCGTGCAGAGCTGCCTGGCCATGCCTCTGCCTAGCAGCTGAGAGAGAGGGATGTCA